CCGTTTTCAAACTTGGTGCATAGGTTATGTATGAAGGTTACATATGCATGTCAAATATTTTCTGATACATTACATTAAAGGAGTATTTAGTTTAATTTTCAAAATATTAAATCATAACTTCGTGTTCTACCCTGGTTGTGAGAAGTAGTTTATGTGTTCATCTTTATAATTACCGGTAGCACTTATACTGATTCTTTTTGCTAACAGGCATCAGTCTCACGAAAACCTAAGAAGAAGCTTCACATTGGTTGGCTGCATTCTGAAGATGGTCAACCTTACAAGCAGGTGAAAATGATTGATGGTGGTGGAACAAGGATTGTAGAGTACAGTGCAGAAGACACCATTTCAGTACAGACAGTGATATACATGGGGAAAAAACTGTTCAAGAAGAACATTGACAAGTATGGCGGAATAAGTGAGATGTATATAGCATTAGGAAATTTTTCTAGAGAAAAGATAACTACTTTTACTAATGTTGATGGCGAGGAATGTAATTATGATGAATACCTAAAATCACATAGGTTATTTCCCAGTAAATGCAGATTGTATTTAACGACATCTACTGTGAGTTTTTCAAGTGCAGCCACTGCTGACAATTCTCCATATATGGAAGAAAATGGTGGGACATCATCAAATGCTCGTATTAGTACAGATGTCATAGAACATACAACTGAAAGACAATCACCACTTCTCCCTGCAGGTGCAGATGATATCAGAAAACAGAAATGACTGAAGGTGACATCCATCTGAGCTCAAATGTTATCATGCCAAGGACGGATTGTCCTGAACAGTCAAATGAGAGGAAACCAAATGTAGTATTTGCAGTACCAAGAATTGGTCTTGGGGAGAATCACAAATACAAGAGATCAGTGCTACAAACCGTGATTATGATAAACCTCAATTTGTGCCTGAACAGGACAACTCATTAGCAGATTCTAATGTTGATACGATTCTACATATTTCCTCCAATGCAGTTGGTAAAACAAATAAAGTCAGTAAAGAATCGGGTATAGAAGTGGGTGCTGAAAGGAAACGTTCATCATTGTCAATGGAGCCAACAGAGGGAGATAAGCTCAACATTTCATACTCAAAAGAAGGTGCATCATGCTATTCTGACGTTGTATTTACAATATCAGCTTCATCTAGAGCTCAGTGTAAAGAAATATGTCTCTGGTCTGATCCAGATATTGAATCTTCACAAGATTTTGATCCTATACGCAATGGATTTAAAGTGAGAGCGATATGCAAGAAGGACGTGCTATTTTTAGATTACAAATGCATGGATGGAAATGATTTAAAGTATGTCTTTCCAATGGCAAATGGGTTTGACAATTCTAAAATAATATTGCATGAGCCAGCTGAAATCTGGGGTTATGAAGACAAACTGTTAGTACTTGGTGTGATCGCTTCCTGTCATGGACAGGTGTCATCTATACATGGAAAAAGGATGATGTTATTATATCCGAAGACTCTGATCATTGCTGTCTTTGGATAACTGATTCTGGCTTGTACAAAGTAATTGTAACATTTGATGGAATGTTTGAAGAATCTGCAAATGTAAGTATTGTTGAAGTATGTACAATGACAGGGAGTGGGCGAGAAGAAGGAAAACTTGTAAAACAGATACCAAGTTTGTCACAGAAACTACAGCCTGATTCCAGGAAGAAAGCAAGATCCATTCAAGAAGTTGTTCCATCATCCTCACAAAGTGCAGCAAATGCTTATGTACCCCAAATCAAGGTAAAGGATGTACAGTACAGAAGAGCTGATGAAATTGGCAGAGGTGCATTTGGCATAGTGTATAGAGGTAAATGGCTTGGCACAGATGTGGCTATCAAAGAAATAAAGGGAAGAAATGTAAAACTTCTGCAAGGAAGTATTAAAAGGGAGGTTCAAATACATAGTAGGATCAGACATCCAAATATCGTGCAGCTTATGGCAACTGCTGTTGAAAAGAATACAATGATCATTGTCTCTGAATATATTGATGGGCCAAACATGGATGATCTTCTTTTTACTGGTGAGCACATAGAGTTTAATATTCCAAATGACCGAAAGCCATATATCACCAAGCAACTGTGCCAAGCAATATCATACATGCATGAGAATAATATCATTCATCAGGACATAAAACCTGCTAACATTTTAATCGCAAAGAATACCATGGTTACAAAAATTTGTGACATGGGTGTTAGCAAACTTATAAAGCGTCATACAACACTTCATGCAGGCAGCAGTGCTATAGCTGGAACACCATCGTACATGGCTCCCGAATGTCTAATTCAACAAACTAAAGCAAGTACGATGTCTGATATGTGGTCCCTTGGAATTACGCTAATTGAGCTGTACACGAAACATCATGCATGGGGCCTTGACAAAGACGAGTCAACACACGAGGGTAGCCTTGCTGATGACAACCAAGAAGATGATCTACAGCAACTAACTAATTTGATGGTAGCACAAAAAATGCCATGTTCATTGGAGACATTAATCACTGAAGGATGCTATGGTCATTCATTTGTTGGACTTCTCAGTAGATGTGTGGATTACTGTCCAGATAATAGACCCTCTGCCCTAGAGTGTATTGATATTCTGGGAGCAAATTAATAATAGTAAATTAGTTTACTATTCGTTCTAAAACCTTTTGCAGGAAGCATTTCTTCAAAGTAGTCTGAGCTGAGGAAGACAATATATTACCCAATATAAAACAATTGATAAATTATCTTAACCTTGAGCAAAGCTATTTGACACAGAAATGAACTATGCATACCGGTATATGCCATTCTGCTCTATTACAGTTGCATGGGCCATTGGTACAAAGGTGTGTATAGATAGAATGAGCCATTTCAGTTGTGATCAATGCAAATGTCGAATAAAACAAGATATGGTATTTGGGATTCTGGTTTATTTTTAGTTACATAAGTCATATATGTATCTTGGGCATTCATGATTTTATTTAATTTTTTGACTCCCTTGTGTGAAGCACATAATGGAAGTCTGTGGTTAGTGCATCTGTGTGTGTATGTGTGTCTGTTCCACTGATATAAAACCAATTATCAAATTCCAATGAAACTTGATACTTAGATGATCTGGGATAATGTACAGTTCTTATTAGTTTTTGGATGAAGTTTGTGCACAATAATGATTCATTTTGCATATAAATTAGCCAATATTTAACTTTTCCACCAATATCTCAATCACTCATCAGATCAGTGAAACTGGTACATACACATGTAGATGCTAGGGATAACCCATATACATGTCAGTTTAGGGTTAAGTTTTGTGCTTATTAATTACCTAACTTGCATAAATTAACCAATTTACAGGTTCTCCATAGATATCTTGAATACCACTGATTAAATTTAATGACACTGGGTACATGCTTTTAGATAATCCATAGTTCTGATTACTTCAAGGTTGAAATCCATGCATAATAATTACTTGTTATTAGTTTCATGTTTGTTTCTTACTATGCATAACTGTAATGTACTATTGCAGATAGGGACTAGCAGCTGGTGCTTTAATTTTGTTGTCTGACAAGTTATATGACCAAAATATTAGTTCATCATATATGGTCATTATTTTATTAAATATTTACACTTGTTAAACGTTAGCTACTTAGAACCACCCTAATTAATTGCCCTATTAGAAACGCATGCGCTTACTGTAAAACTAAGAAGTATTTCAATGATTTTGCATTCAATAAATACAATGCTTTTTATGTGTGATGAAGATGTGCTTCTAATATAGTAAATACAGTATTCCTCCAATACCTTCAGCACTGGAATACTTTCTAAGCTGTATTGGATTTATTTTCATTTGACATTCCATAGTTTATTTACTTGTTAACTATTCTGCATTCATGTACAAACGAATCCATACATTGTGTTTTATTGTAGAAGTTATTGCACAGAGAGAAGAGCTCATTTTATTTGTGAACTAACATCTGTAGACATGTTAAACTTTATACTAAAAATAACCAGTTTTACTCTATGCATGTGTTACTAGTTTTAGTAACACTTTGCTGACGTTTTCAATTTGTTTATTTCAGTATCTGTTTTTAACGTTCTGATATAGCTTTTGTTCATCTCAGTAAACTTCACTGTAGTTATTGCTGTAGTTGCAATGGTTAATAAATAGTTCTAATAAAATGCTGAGACATTTACATATTTGTACTGTACTTACTGAGTGAAAATGTGGTAATCAAATGCATGTGACCCCTGACCCCGATTGGTCACCTGATGAATATATATTTTTGGATGCCATAATAATAATCTTTTTAAATTTTCCAAAAAATGTACAGCATGTAATCCAAAAGTTACGAGATCATATTACCAATAATTGACACATATAATCATTCCCATGGGATGTTAATTGACAAGTGGGACTTATTTGGATACTAAAATGTCACCACAATGAAAATTGGGAATATTGCGAGCTGTAATACCACAAACTGAAATGAATTGTATGATTTGGGTTGTTCATCAATGCAGTGATTGCATTTTCAAATGAAACAACGTTCAGCTGTCGGATAGATTGAAATATCAAAGACCGATAGTTGAACAGTTTTGATTGGTTGATTGGTCATCAAGAAATATTATCCACAAGTATTATGGCATGCGAATTACATTAATGTATATGCTTATCAAACTTGGTCCAAACCTATTGCATTGTTCATGAGATAATTCAAATTTAGTAAAAACTGTATGCAAATTAGCTAATTTACATATTTAACTTTAAACAGATTTGCCCAAAAAACAAATCATGTCCGAGGATTACTCCAAAGCATATATGTACCGAATTTCATCCAAATATAAACTGTCTTGAGATTTGCGTGGAACAGACACACACACACACACACACACAAATACCTTAAACTCAAAGGCTTCACACACAGTAGACTAAACAGTGTTGGCCTGCAATTATGATTAATTGCAAATGGTCGAGAATTTAATGTACTTCAACGATCTTTATTGCTTGAACTCGTGATACCAATGCAAATAAACATTACCATCTATTTATTATGCCATTTTCAACCTAGTTTCAAAATAAATTCGCACCTAAATAACAGATTTTAAATAGCTATGACTCAGTTTTAAATGATATTGAAATATGATCATTTTTAATATATCAAAAAGTGTGCCCTACGAACTGTTAATTTGTCGTTTTATTATCCTGATTTCAATTCGAACAGGGCAATGAATATAAATGCAAAATTATTTAAAAAAATATTTGGTTGCTGGTATGTTAATCAGCAAATTCACATAATAAACACACGCTTTATTGAGATTTTAGTTGAAACACATTGACTTATTTTTGCATAATATATATATATATATATATACAAAATAAAATTAACTACAGTGTTTTAATTATGAATGTAGATTTATTGAAGCAATATCTGAATATAGTATGATGTAGCATAGTAATGTAACAACTAATTTATCCTTAATACATTTGCCATGTAATTGCAAATATTTCGTACAGCTTACCCCACGTTTTAATTGAAAATTAAAAATTGGTATTCACACAATATGAATAGTTACAAAGTAGATCAATGATTCAAACGTGTCACTGAATCGAAATAAAAGTCATAAAGATCAGTCGTCCTGATACAAAATTGATATACCTTTCAAATGTATGCTTCAGTGGCTTGTAACAATGTCAAAAATAGTTTCTCTGCCTCATCCACTGTTGTTGGCTTTTCATGACCAGGCATTACTTCATTTGCTAACTGTATAAACGCAGGGCAGGATCCATGTTCTGGCAATGGAGTACTATAAAGTTCAATACACATACTAACATCTTCTTCGTCAATATATGTACCATAGTTGTAGCTACCAGATAATTCAGGTATGTAATAAAGTATGTCAGGTTTCCCTTTCTGGTTTTCTGAATTTCTCTTTGTGGCAATATAATGAAGGTTCCACTCCATAGCAATGCAGTTGAGCTCTCTTTGCAATATGTCCATGAAGCAATATCTTATGCATTCAACATGCAATGGGTCATAATCAAGATATAGTCCACTGTCTCTAATGTCTTTGAAGTAATTAATCCAGCAATCACCACCTTGCCTTCTCATCATACTCCACCAAGCCTCAATACGTTGATTTGAAGTACTCTTGCCATAGATAACACTTTTTACCCCAGCAAGGTTATCAGTGTCATTCCATCTGAGAGCGTTGCAGAGTTCACATAGAATTTTCTGTTCCAGTCAGATCTCAGATTCTGGAACAACTCCAGCCTGCTTTGCATAGTTTAGGTAGTAGTTGCAATAATTCCAGGGTTGTTATTGCTAGATGATACTTCCAACCATAACAATTTTCTGCTGTATCCATCAATGGCACCATGAACTGCGAACCCAAATGGTTTAAGTTTATCGTAACCATCGATGTGCCAAATAAAATTTGGTCCTGGTACTACATACTTCCTTCTTAAGAGCCTATGCTTCGTACGTCTTTCAATCCCTTCAGGATCAAGTATATTAAGTAGATCAAGAACTAAATCCCTGTTCACCATTAAACCATATTTGAGTTTCAACCTTTTCCACATGGCCTTATACCCAATACATTTTCCGCTGGATTGTAGCTCTGTTTCTATAGCTGCAATGATATTCTCTATGTCAGGTAAAGTGATAGTCTTCCTTCGCTTCAAACCATACTTTTTCAATAGGCGTTTCAAATGTCTAAGGCTTACAATGTTACCTATTATGCAAAAGTGATATGGACAGGATTTAATATTTAATAATTTATCATTTCCAACATACGCATAGGTGTAGAGAACATTTGCTGCATGTATACATTCCAAACACCAAACCAAACATACACTGAACGGTATTCAGAAATGAGACAATACATACGATAATGTGAATCAACGTTATAGTGCATGTGAGCAACTTACCATGTAAAAGGAACAGAGAAGCTATTATTTCCTCATTAGTGTAGCATGCATTAAAGTATTTCTTTATTAGCTTTTCCCTGTCAATAATTCCTGTATAGTCAGGCAACATCTGCAAATGGAAAGACAGTAGACAATAAGCATTTTATTACCTACAAAATTATCAGTATAATTACTCGTTTTTCACAGGATGTGATACTTAGGTTTGAATGCAATATGTACTACATACAAAATTACTAGGATATAAAATTGCACGTGACCATATACTTGAAGCAAACTGTTTTCAGAATTATTGATGAAATTGTAAACACTGAAACATAATGATTTTATTGTTGCGTAGCCTTTCCTCCACTGTACATCATACATACCGTATTGTGATGACGTCCACTCTAGGAAGATATCAGGTAATGGGTAAAAATTATAATCAAATATGAGATAGGAAGGCCTGCAATGAAGAAGTGGCAAATATGAAGTCGGAAATTGGAAGTGAGAATTTGGAAAACAGAAGTGAGAAGTCGGAAATTGGAAGTGACAATTTGGAAGTGAGGAGTGAGAAATCGGAAATTGGAAGTGAGAAATTGGAAGACAGAAGTAAGAAGTCGGAAATTGGAAGTGAGAATTTGGAAGACAGAAGTGAGAAGTGAGAAGTCGGAAATTGGAAGTCAGAAGTGAGAAGTCGGAAATTGGAAGTCAGAAGTGAGAAGTCGGAA